GTTGTTGTTGTTGTTATTATTGTTGTTGTTGTATTCAGTCTTTCTTTATCTTAAGAGGGGAAAGAAAACAAAAAGAATAAGAAAAACCATCTAGGATGAGTCATAAAATTATCTAACAGATATTTTTTTCTGGCAGTGGTTCGAGAAAAAGATGTCTGTTGGGAATATGCTGAGAAGTTAGACGGGAATAAAGTGAGATGTAAATTTTGTCTTAGAATTCTCAACGGTGGCATTAGTAGGTTAAAGCACCACTTATCCAGACTTCCAAGTAAAGGTGTGAATCCATGTACTAAGGTGAGAGATGATGTTACTGACAGGGTAAGGGCAATAGTAGCATCAAAGGATGAGGCAAAGGAAACTCCTAGTACTAAAAAGCATAAGCTCATTGAGGCTAAATCTCTTGTAAATATTTCTCCAGAAAACCCCCTTTTGTCTGTGGAACCAATAACTCCAATTGCAAGAACTTTTCCACCAATTGGGCAGGCTATCTCTTCACCTGGAAATAACCAAGAAAATGCGGAGAGAAGTATTGCGTTGTTCTTTTTTGAGAACAAAATTGACTTCGGTGTTGCTAGATCTTCCTCTTACCATCAAATGATTGAGGCAGTAGGGAAGTGTGGCAGTGGGTTTTTAGGTCCTTCTCCTGAAACTCTGAAAGCAACATGGTTGGAGAGGATCAAGGCTGAAGTAAGCTTACAGTCAAAAGATGTTGAGAAAGAGTGGGCAATGACAGGTTACACTTTAATTGCAGAAACATGGACAGATAACAAAATGAAAGCTTTGATCAACTTCTTGGTTTCATCACCCTCCAGGACTATTTTCTACAAATCTGTAGATGCATCTTCATATTTTAAGAATCTAAAATGCCTCTCTGAGTTGTTTGATTCAATCATTCAAGAATTTGGCCCAGAGAATATTGTGCAAGTAATTGTGGATAATACACTTTACTGCACTGGTATAGTGAACCATATTTTGCAGAACTGCGGGAGTGTTTTTGTGTCCCCTTGTGCTTCACAGTGTATAAACGCAATCTTAGACGAGTTTTCGAAATTAGATTGGGTAAATAGATGCATTTTACAGGCGCAATCAATCTCGAAGTTTATATACAATAATTCCTCATTGCTTGATCTTATGAAAAAGTTCACTGGAGGACAAGAGATCATCAAGACTGGTATCACAAAGTCCGTTTCACACTTTCTCTCCTTACAATGTCTACTGAAGCATAGGTCAAGATTGAAACTTATGTTTAACGGTCCAGAGTTTGCTGCCAATTCTGCTCATACAAATAAACCACAAAGCATTAGTTGTATTGGAATTCTAGATGACAATGATTTTTGGAGGACAGCTGAAGAGTGTGTTGCTGTTTCTGAGCCCTTCCTCAAAGTGATGAGGGAAGTATCTGGAGGAAAGCCAGCTGTGGGCTCTATATATGAACTACTGACCAGAGCTAAGGAGTCAATACGGACATACTATATTATGGATGAAATAAAGTGCACGACATTTTTGGATATAGTAGATAAGAAATGGCAGAATAACCTCCACTCTCCTCTGCATTCAGCAGCTGCCTTTTTGAATCCTAGCATCCAATACAACACAGAAGTCAAGTTTCTTGGGTCAATAAAGGAAGATTTTTTCAGAGTGCTGGAGAAGCTATTACCAACTCCCGAATTGAGGCGAGATATCACGACTCAAATCCTTTCATTTACAAGGGCATCAGGAATGTTTGGTTGTAATCTGGCAAAGGAGGCAATTGATACTGTTCCTCCAGGTATGACTGCATCTTTACTTTCAAACTTTTTGTGCATCCCCAGTACATAACTTAAATTGAAGCGATCCTAAGAAAAGTCTTGTCCGCTCATTCTTCTTTCTTCTCCGTGAGATAGTAGGAAAGCTGACTAGCACCTTCTTCTAAATTGACGACGTCATTGGTCACGTAGTGATATCATGCATTGACAGAAAACTAATTCCTATTAGACCAATGGGTTCCTTTTGTGTTCCCTGGAGATCTCTCTCCCTTTATAGGTGTGGACTTAGGTGGAATGGGTATAGCCTATTTGCTTCTGTTACTTTTTACTGGCATAGAGATCTTTATTTCCAAGAGGTATAAATGCCTTTTAAATTCCTCTTGGAAAGGTGAAAAACTCAAATTTTTGTTCCATTATTCTGACCAACTGTAGAAAAAGTACATGAAGAGAAATGAAAAATGTGCGATAATTCTTTCGCATCTTTCATGTGGTATCGACTCAGGCACTCACAAGTAGAGAGAACCTTGTCAGAACTCAGAAGGAGATCATAACTCCTATTTCTCTTGGCTGCAGAATAGGTTTTCTTTTTCATAAGTTTCACTTGTATTTCCTTCATTTTAATTACACCTGGAAGTTTCATTGGTTGCCTATATGATATTTTCAAGAAAAAAAATGATATTTCCAAGGAAAGCTTTTCTTGTAAGCTTCTTGCAACTGCAACAACAACAACAACAACAACAACAACGACCCAGTATAATCCCACAAGTGGGGTCTGGGGAGGGTAATATGTACGCAGACCTTACCCCTACCCCGAAGGGTAGAGAGGCTGTTTCCAGGAGACCCTCGGCTCAAAAGGCTCAAAAAAAAAGCAATAGGAGATAATATATTAGTACCATAAAAATGCGTAATAAAATAACAACAATATATAGGAGATACGAAATATGAAATACAGGATNATCCTCCTAATAAGGTGGATAGCTTCTGTGGTAGATCTTCCCGGCATGAACCCGAACTGGTTGTCTGAAATAGACACCGTCCTTCGCACTCTCATTTCTACCACTCTCTCCCAAACTTTCATGGTATGACTTAGTAATTTGATGCCCCTATAGTTGTTACAGCTCTGGACATCTCATAGAATCCATTTTGGATATAGACCTGGAAAGTTTATAGAATATAGTGTTCTAAATGCTTCACTCATATAAAATGAACTCTCTTTTTCTTCCCTTTAGCATGGAGAAAATGATGGTTGCAACACCAGGTCAAAAGGCGGAACCCCAGTAATATCTGGTCATTAGAACTTGCAAGTGCTCTGGGATTCAATTTCTAATTAGTGCCTCCAGAAATTTTCATGTTGTGAAGGTTCGAGACTACATTTTGAGTTTTCTTTTCCTGAAAGTTCTAGGCTTTAGAGTTAAGAGTACTAAAATTAGTTCCAGACTCTAGTTTGAGCCTTAAGTTTCATCTGAATAAAGCACCAGTGTTGCAAGCTGATCTTTTGAGTTATCTGTAAACTAGTTTGAGTTTAGTTTTTTGTCCGAATACTTTGTAATCTAGTTAGATCTACTACCTTACAAGAAAATAAGAAAGAGAGACACCAGCTTTAAGAATCAGTCGTGAAGGTCATTTAACGTTTCATGTTTAATTTAAGCAAAATCCAATGTAAGCTTTAAAACTGTTAGAAACTACTAAGCTATTGCTGTGCTTGTTGTGGTTGCTACCTCCTATGTTAAGTAAAACCATGAGCTAACAAAAGGAGATGTACTTGGGTTTTCATTTCTCACTTATCAAAAGAAATAAAAAAGAGATGTACTTGAATGTCAATTCTGCCTCAGTATACATACATAGCACTTCCTGCTAGACTAAACATTCCGGAAGCAATGAAGTCAGTAGAACTTTTGAAGTATATGGAAATGTGATGGCCCCTAAAAGTTGTAAAACAACATTAATGATTCGGTAGATATTAACTCGTAGTAAGACTTCCATAGGGCTTCAATGTAGACTGGCTTAAAATACTGACTAAGCTGAAATCACGTCTAGTTGATCGCTAACCTTGAGTCGAGTCTCCTCTGAATGCGTCAATTCTATGGACTTTCTCCAGAATGTCTTAATTGACTTGAACTGTGCTGTTATAATTTTCTATCATCTTGCTTGCATCTCAATCTCATAGATTCATGCTGTCAGAAAAATGACTGCTGCCGACACTTCATGCTTTTTATACAAGCTTTCTTCATTGCCTAACTAACTCTCAATGGACTAATGCGAAGGAAATGCATTGTAGGTATTTGGTGGGAACAGTACGGTGATGCTGCTCCTACGTTGCAGAGAGTCGCCATTAGAATACTTAGCCAGGTATGCAGTACATTCACTTTTGAACGACATTGGAGCACATTTCAACAAATCCACTCCGAGAGGCGCAATAAGATTGACAAGGAAACCCTTCTGGACCTTGTTTATATAAACTATAATCTGAAGTTAGCACGGTATTTGGTTTCTAAACCCACGGAGGAAGATCCCCTCCAACTTGATGACATAGATATGACATCTGAGTGGGTAGAAGAGGTGGAAAATCCTAGTCCAACTCAGTGGCTTGATAGATTTGGTTCTCTTGATGGAAATGACTTGAACACGCGACAGTTTACTGCTGCAATATTTGGTGCTAGTGACCACATATTTGGTTTATGACCAGGTTGTCGTCCACCCTCAACGTACAGGGATTTAGTCGTCATAATGTAGTGTCATGGAATTGTGTGGTACTTTTAGCTCTCCTTTCTTCATGTAAAAACGTAGTTAGGAGTAGTGCAAGTAGCTGTTTTGATAGGCCATCTAAACGTCATTCCTACCCAGAAAGAGAGGGGGATGGTAGTTGGTAAACTGGCAATGCATGTTGCATACATTAGTGTATACATTGTGCAGCATGTGATAAAGGTGTTCTGTTTATCCTCCTTTATCGAAATATTTGGGTAGTCAGGGAAATCAAATTATACTTTTGACACCCCTTTGGAATAAGTTGCAACAAAGGTCATATTATACTTTTGACACCCCTTTGGAATAAGTTGCAACAAAGTTTCCTCGTGGACGCCCCGCACATTTGCAAGAAATTCTGTTAGCAAATTTTCCTCTATCCATGCAAAAAGGAAGGCAAGCACAACTGTTCTATGACAGTTTAATGGCTCCGAAGTTGAAACGATATAGTTTTTGGGCAAAGCGCGGCAATAATTGAATAGCTAACTAGAATGCCAGGACACAAAATTGACATGGGAAAAGAATAACAACAGCTGACTTTGCTTATCGCAACCTTGCAGCTATCAGATCAATGCCAAACTCACTTGTCTAAAGTTAATAGGCCTTATCACAAAATATATATCTGCACACGCACAAAATACATTTACAATGACATTATAATGTACTGACACCTTCATTACATTCTACAAATTTTATTTTATTTTTAGAGAAGCATCGCTCATAAAAACTATCATGATGAATTGCCAATCAAATGAGATATCGCCTTGTCTGTATCGTTGTCATTCAATAGTAAGGCATCTGCAACACTGTTTGATGAGAATCCCATCTCTTCTTTCAAGCGAGTATATCTCTCTGCAAATTCCTTGACCTGATTAGTTGATGAAGAAAATGTTAGAACAACCTAATGAAAGGTCACATTACTATAGCCAAGTGCTCCTCAATGCTATTGGGCAAATTTTTGTACAACACTTCCTTGTTCACTTCAACATTCTAAAATCTCGGTCACAAATTAAATGTCATGTTTTGCCTTTCAAAAACTAAAATTCAATTTTTGTTAACATTACTGTCTAAGTGGTTTTATGATGGAAAAAGATGCATCATGTTGTACCTTCATGCAGTTTCTAAATATCTAACTCTCTTTACAAAAAATAATCTAGTCATTTTCCAATTTCACTACAAAAATTAGTTAACTTGACCGTCGATGAATTCAATTTGAAATTGGACTTAGGACAGGGTAAAATAAGAAATGGAAGTCTTTGTAGAGAAATGTCTTCACAAACTTAATTTAAAGTAAGATCTGTAGATAAGCTAATTTGACCTTGCTCCTAGTGCCACATGCAGACAGAGAAATGTAAGAGAAGCATGTAAAAGATATGTGACCTTGATCGGGTTATCTCCATAATTTGCAACCGCTATGGCCACAGCCTCTCTGTTGAAACCAAATGCTGTGTATTTGTTTATAACAGAATCTCCAGTGGATCCCTATATTCAAGTAAGAAAAGACTCATTCAAATATCAACAAAAATTAAGTGTCTGTTGATGAGAACCAAATCAGAAATCACATTGAGTAAACTGCAAAATATTTAAATGTATTACACATTCCCAAACAAAGCACATGATGCGCTCTTGGCAATCAATACTTGATTTGTTATCTCTGTGTGTGTATATATGAAACGATGCTAACTACCTTTGTTCACAGACTTAATATTTGACATCCTAAAAATGTCAAAAAATAAATGACATGTTTTGAGACATGATTTTTTCCTCCTTTGCAGTATATAAACCATATTTGGATCCACAAAATTCAAAATGAGGGATCCAACTTGAGGAATTACTTGTTACGCTAATTCTTAGAAAGGAAAAGGACAAACTTATTCTTCCTTAGGTTCGAGTAAGCTATGCATAATAGAATATGTTTAAAGAAAAATCCTCAACGTAGGAAGGTGTTAGGTAGTTAGTGTATGTACCTTCAGTGTTCCACATTGGTTAGTAGGTATTATGTATTGTGTAAAGTATGTACATAAATAGGGCTCAATGTAAGATAATTAAAGTTATGCATCTTAATAATACTTTCCCTTGCCTTCACTTCTCACAGAAGTATTTAACCACCTTGAAAACTTAAAAGTAGTCTACCTGAGCCAAGGAAAAGGAAGTACAAGAACTAACACTTGCACCATTATCCCCGAGCTTAATTGTGGTAAACAGGGCAGAGCAGTAGGATTGCTTATTAGCATCTCCTCAATTATCCAGGAGTTCAACCCAGAGAAAGAGCCTGAACAGATATTAAAATCACGCCAGTTTTGTCACCAACTATGAACTGAATGACTGGCAGCCGCATCTCATAATCTTCAGTTTCAATGTAGACTAGGAATATGTAAAGACATGTTATTGGAAGTAATTTCCTACTCTTTAGAAAATAAAAGAGTTACACCTTAAAAATTCAGCTCCTTTTTCAAATTTGGACTTTCCTGGAATGCCAAAATCACATTTTGTAAGATCAAGTGATGAAAAAAAGAGACTAAACCATCTCAAGGCTCAAACTATTTTATATACTTGACTACCTCCACCATATGCCAGAGTACAGGTGTCTAACTCTTTGATATTTCTATCGCTTGTTGATGAGCTTTTTAATCTCTATAGGTTAAGACCAAACTAAAAAAATAGATAGCAATAGAAATCTCCCTATTAAGATTTTAGTCTTCATACCCAGCTGCCGCCCTAGCAGTTAAATATAGAAATGCATATGGGTGTACACCAAAGAAGTACTCTCTCTGTTTTCAATTTATATGACACTCTTTTCATTTTGGGGTGCTCCAAAATGTTTGTCATCAATCCATGTCTAGCCAACTTTCACAACTTCAAGAATGCAAATCCAGTAAACTATACAAATTTTAAGCTTTGATGTGATGCTTTCTCTATCAAACTAACCTTTTCAATTGTTTCTTTATTTATTTCTTCCACTACCACTAATAATATACATAGGTCAAAATGAATATCCATGATCAGTCAAGCACTGTCATATAAATTGAAATGGAGGGGCATTTCAGCTAACAATCAACTACACCTCCATTCTGAACTAGTTGGGTGGGCTATATGAATCCTCTTAAGCACTTCACTCTATTCAATGGCCAACCTAGTGTTGTCCTAGGTGGGTATGTCCCAACAAATTCAGTATTCAGGGGATTAATTATACTTAGACATTTTCATTCAGATACCGGACTGGACCCGCTTTGAGAAACTTATGTAACCAGAGTTTACTGCTGCAGTTAACAAGATTACAAGAAATACAAAGTACCGTGTTAGTTTGTTCTGGCAATCTAGATGGAAGATTTTCCAGCCCTAGCCTGCTCCAATTCTGGCTTTCCTTTTCTGCTTCGGCCAGAATCTTTTTCTCAAAGTCAAAATCAAAGTTGAATGTGCTTCGAGGAATGTCTCCCACTTGTGTTGACAGCGGAGGCTGCAAGAAACCGAAAATAATATATTGTTCGCATAAACGACTTAAGCTATGCATCTGATACAATACTAAATTAAAATAGTATACAAAATCTAGATATGGAAACAAACTGATGAGCAGAATTATATTGAGTTAGTCCTATGCACCGACAATGTAAAAAGTATTTTGGCAATCAGATCATTTATTAGGTACAACAACAACAATCACAGTATAATCCCACAAGTGGGGTCTGTGTGTACGCAGACCTTACTCCTACCTTGAAGGTAGAAGATCATTTATTAGGTAATTACAGGTAAATCTCTCAATAAATATTAGGTTATCGGTAAAAATGGAAACTAACCTCAGGTTAAAATTCACTGATAATGTAAGAAGCTTTAAAACAGTCGGTGTATATAACTTAAGTTCTATATGTGCAAAATGTTCTATGAAGCACGGTTGTATATCACAGTTGGAAGCATCAAGCATGTCCAGCATATAAGCACCTCAGAACTTGGGAGTACATGTACAAGACTACAATAGTATATATTAAGCATATAGGATTCATACCGGAGGTGTAATCCGATATTCAGGTTTAATAGCAACTCTGATGCCAATTCCAGCTGCAAAAAACAGGTGAGAGATCAAAATTTCCCTTATTGAAATTGACTCTGAACAGATTAACCTACAAAGCTTACATAAATGAGAGATCAAGGAATACATACTGTTGGAAGACGGAGAAGAGGTGTGATGAATAGGAGGGTTACGGACGCCGCCGGAGGGTTGACCAACCCTAGGATACAGTCCGGGTGCTTGTTGACCGTACATGGGATGTGGTTGTGGATGTGGAGCGCCGGTTGCTGGTCTGCCGTACATCGGCGGCAATTGTGTATCGTAAGGAGATCCTGTTCTGTTCCTGTAATCGTATTCCATGGCTGCGCGTTCACTGATTTCAATCACAACAACAGAGTTTGGAAGAGGAGGAAGATTGAAAAAGATGGCAGGGGAATTTCTTAGAACCCGGGAGTTTGATTTCCGTAACTAACACGTTTGTGTTGCTGAATCTGATTTTTGGGTGTAAATGACACAATTAGCCACTTTTGCATGTTGATTACAATCAATATATTTAAAGTTCGAGCCCTGCTTGTGGAGAAGTCCTTGGCAGGGAGCGCTACTCCCAAATGGGCCTTATCCGCCACGAATTCGGATATGGTCGGGCTCCAACGTGGATACCGGACACTGGGTGGGAAACCAAAAAAAAAAAGGATTAGCCAATTTCACTCAAACTTTAGGACACGGCGTCCTAAAATTTAAACCTCAAGATTCAACTTCAGGAGATCGTGTCCTAAAGTTCCAAAATTATGTTCTAAAGTTCGAATCTTATGTCTTGAATTTTAAATTAGGAGTTCAGAAATATGTATTGGATTTGGATGGGTGATCCAAAGACAATTCTTTTTTCCTCAAAGAGAAAAATATTTGGAGAAATTCAAAAATAGCCAGATTTATAAGTGGTAATTAAAAAATAGCCATAGTTTCAAAAGTAATTGAATTTTAGCCATTTGTCATGTAAAGATAAATCTGAACGAAAATACTATTCAAAATCTAAAAAATATTCCAACATAATATGCTGACTTTATAAACGGTGGCTATTTTTCAATTACCAGTCCGAAAACTGGCTAACCCGTGCTATTTTCGCGAAAATATTCAACGCACCTATTTACTTATTGTTAAGTGGAGTAATAAATCTTTTATAAATGACATATGTTAATGTGTTTTTGTTGATTTGCTGCATGTATCAAATGCGGACAAATATTGTCTGGTGACATTATTACATGTTATGAAATACAATTATTGAAGATTTTACTAGAATGTAAGATTACTAACTTGTTATTAAATTGTAATTGAGCCAAAAAAAAGTGACCTCCCAGGAATAGTTACGCCAGATGCATATTGAAATGCGGATTTTTAGATGACTTACAGTTTCCAGAAAGAAAAATATTAGAACTTGAAAAATCATCGAGTAAAATGGTCTATGCCCCTTCATGGGATAAAAGCGTTTCTATTTCGATTCACACATGAGAATGATCAAAAAGAAAAAAACGTTTGGTGTTAATGGTGCCGTCAATCTTAGCAAAATTAACTGTAATATGAAGTGAATGGGAAGGACTTTGATTTATTAGGGCCAACATGAAATGAATTTGAAAACAACAACAAAGTCATAGTTTAATAATGCAGTCTCAGTGCCTCCTTGATAGTTAACCAGTTGGACCAGACAACAGATAGCCTTCAAAATAATTCCATAAAGCTACAGCAAATAGTGCTAGCTCGCCTTGCATGGACAAGATATCGATTCTCCGCGGGGCTGGGCATATATAGGGTATAACCGATAGTCCGAACCGAAAAAAGCTTATAGGGGTATTGATATCGGGTTATTGGGTTAACGGTTCGATAACAGTTTAGTATTTTTTCACTATTGGGTTATCGGTTGGGGCCTCGTTTGCCTAGTTTCTTAATGGGTTAACCGATAATCCAATAAGATTTAATAAAATTATGATTTTACCCTTAAGTATATAAATACATCTAGGGCTTCATTCTCTCTTTTTCTCCCAATTTTTCCAGCTGCATTCAAGATTAATTTTTCCAACCGCATTCAAGATTGAAGTTTCACAGTTCACTCTTCAGACTCTAATTCAGTTCTTCTTCAAAATTCAATTTTTTGGTAGAAAACAAAAAAATTGTTATTAATTTGTCAAAATGAAGCATGCTTCAAACATTAGTTGTGGCCAGAACGTAGAAATGGGTAGTATATTATATATGAATTCTTCTCTTTTTTGCTTTAACTCTAATGAATTGTCTCTTTTTTGCTTATATCTAGATTGAGTTATATCTTATCGGGTAAACCGATAACCGAACCGATAATGATCGATAATCGATAAACGATATCTTATCGGTTCGATTATCGATTTATCATATTTATAAATCGATAACCGATATGCTAAACCGATAATATTCACAACCGAACCAAACCGAGCGGAGCGATGCCCACCCCTAATTCACCAGACTCAATATAAGCTGTAGACACACTTGATAATTGTAGACTGGCTAATGATTCAAAAACAAGCAACTATGAGAGTGGAAAAAAAATAATAAATGGTCATTTTCTTTTCCGCAATTCCATCTACATGAACTCCTCATGACAAGAAAGTATATTTTCCCAAAATTCACAGATGAATTCAAGTATACATATCCCCTTCGCTTCTCAAAGAATAAGCAAATAAACAATAGCTTAATATGGTAAGATTAGTGTCTGTCCCTCACAAGCCAGGGGTTGGGTAAAACAATATACTTGACTTCCTAAAGGATAGAAGCCTATACATACATCATATGTACTTTGGGTTTACTTATGTCAGAAAAGAATCCTCACAATTTCAGCACCTCTGCAATCTACATATATTTTCTGATAAAGGAATGAACTCCTGAAGAATGCCTGACAGAGATGAGTCCACAAAACCCAAGTGTCATGAAGCTATGCTAGCAATTGCGAAGCAAGGGACTCAACAAGTATGCCACTTTAAACGCCTTCCGAACTTTTCAGTTAAGTTAAATCACACTCCCGAACAAATGGCTCCTGCAAAACACATCACAGGCTACATCAAGGAGTCCAAAAAATTGGTCCATGAAAAGAAACTTCATTCCACTTCCCTTGCTCCTCCGAACTCAAACATCATTATGCAGCTAGCTAAACAGTATATTTCATAGGAGAACATGATTCAATCTGTCCAAGAATATACTGGTATAAACAGAGAGATATAAAGAGACCTGATGACCAAGACGAGCAGCAAAACTTCCTCTCATCTACATGTTTGACATCGGCACCAATAAACCAGGACCCAACACTGACATCATCATGTGCATAAATACGGAGTAGGGATCTGTAATTCAAACCATGGATTACAATTCGATAATCGGTCATCCACACTCCATGGTGCTGAATGCCATGGAATGAGAACTCACCTATTTATTGAAATGTATCTAGCCAGCGCTTGAGATATTACGAACAGCTCTGTGGAAGCATGACGGAAGTACCTAAAAGGAAGAAACAGAAAAGAAATTTGCGATTTTGGTTATCTTCTCATAATAGATAAATAATTTCCCAACTTACAAATACTAGGAAAATTTGAAACAGATAAAAGTACACTGGTAAAGAGGGGGGAAAAAAGAACTTCAGATTTGCGCAAAAGCAATTATGGTACTTGAAAGTTGGCTTCAGCTCCAGGAAATACCATGATTAAGCTCCTGAAGCTAGATTTTATGCATGTGTATGTTTAACTACAGACATATATATACACACACACACGGTTTCTTTTGGGGTTTGGGAGGGAAGTGTGCATGGAGGCTTCATATCTCTCCGAGAAAATGCACAACCACTAATTAATCTGTTAAGAGTAGGTGCAGCCAGAGGCGGATCCAGGATTTGGTGATACCGGGTGCCACACTGATTTAAACGTAGAAATATTGTAATTAACACAAGCCTAATAGGATATCATTCTGCCGGTTTGATGTATTTTGGTATTTTAGTTCGAGTTATTCCGTATTGACACCGTCTTAAGATGGAAAAGAATGACATTCAATACGAATTTTTGGTGTCAAAATTTTTTCCATCTCATTTCACAAGAATTAGGAACACTTAATAAAAACGAAAGCTCTATCCAACCCATTAAAGAACAAGCTGCATCCCAAAAAAAGAGAGACTAAATAGTGATATTAAAAAGGTAATATACATATTGAAATAACTACCCTAACGTGCTAGAAATAAATAACAAAATAATTATTAATCAAAGATTATACATTGCTTAGGTCATTAGTTAGGGGGCTTAGAGTTCAAAACAATGAATCTAACGGGATTTCGATTTTTCTAAAAGCTGGTAAACGGATAATAAATTTAACCTCGTGCCCTTTCCAAGGAAGTAAACTGACAATTGCACAACTCAATCTTTTAACAATATTTGGAACTTCAAAGTTCAAACTGAGCACACTCTCTCTCTAGGAGGCATAATAAAATGCAGCAACTTAAAAAACTTTTATAAAAGATGTACCAGAATGGACTCGAACCCCCGTCTCTTAGGTGAAACATCAGATAAATCACCGCTGGCACCTTACGGCCTTTTGGTCACCCGGGTGCCAAAAACTGAATTTATCCATTTTCTTATACATATACACATAATATATACAAAGTTTTGACCAAAATTTGCGGGTGGCGTACCACCCCATACCTACTGAATAGATCCGCCCCCGGGTGCAGGGACTGTGCAAACTGTGAAATGACAAAAATCTGAATTATGTTGATTTGAAAATTTTGGCCTCGCAAGCAAATCAGGTAACTGGAAAAGTCAATCTCTGCAGTCTAGCTTCAAGGGAAACATGCAGCAGAGCAGGAGCAGTTCTACTAATAAACAAAAAGGATACCAACCCTCTTACTGATAGTCCTCTCATATGAGGAGTACAGCAAACAAATTAGAACTAGCGTAACACAGAGACGAGTGAATGCACTTCCTTAAGGGCAGGAGAAACTTACGTTTTCCCATCTCCAAATTTCCACCAATCTGGTTCATACCATTTCTGGCCCCTGTCAAAATCAAGTAAGACTGATCATATTCATAAAAGATGATCTCAAGCACTTTTATGCAACAGTTTCAGTTCAGAAGAATATTATCAATAAGCCGAGTTATTCAACGACACTTACTTCTCAGAGAAAACTTCGCCTGATTTCATGCACCCAATATATACACGAGGGACACTCAAATATGACGCAAGTGTATTTCCCAAGGAATCTGCACCATATTCACACTTTATTGAAGCTTATGTTAACTTGTTGACAGACGTCAAGAACAAGTAGTTGCATAAGAATAGCCTTTTTTTTAATGAAAAAGAAATTCTAGCAAGTTCTTGAGGTGGTCTTAGTAGTTAGCTTATAGTGCTTGCTGATCATTGTTCATACCAAGGTTTACAAAGACATTGTCATTGACTTTGGCATAGAAGTCAGCATTCCAACTGTCTGATGCATGTGCAAAAAACAGCTTTGTTTTCATTGGGAGTTCCTC